TACTACACATAAATTAACATGGGAATGCAACAAGGGGGAAAAAAATCTACTAATTAAAAATTAATATATGAGTAGAATTCAAAATACTTCATATTAGTTTTCTTAAATATTTTTTGAAAAATGACAATAATTGAAAGGATTGAACTGTTCATGAAAATAATGGTAATTTATTTTTATAAATTAGATATTATTTTTATTTTCTTAAGGTGAGGAGGGAGTGGGTAATTGGCATGAAATGTTTTTTTTTTTTTTTTTTTTTTTGGGGGGGGGTGTCGGCGGGGGGGGGGGGGGGGTTTGCAATTGACTAAAATTGTTTCTCAAATAATGCAACAAATTTTTGATGAAATGAAAATTATCAAAATCACACTTAGAGAAGTAGATGCGTTCATATTTAATATATTGATTCACATATTTGAATCATAATCCCAATGATCAAAAAAGAATATATAAAACTTTCATACAAATATAAAACTTTCATACAACGTTAAGCAATGGAAATTGAAAAATATAGATAAAAAGATTATTTTCAACAAAACCACCTTGGTTTTTGTATTCAATTTTACTCATTATCATTCAATTGGTATTTTTAATTTAATAAAAATCTAAATGTTATGTAATAAAACAAGAGAGTGGTTTTTGAATGTTGGTGAATAGGGTATATATTATATACTGTAATTATATTAAAATATTTTCATAATTTTTTTGTTGTCCACTCTTAATTTGCCTACATATAAGCCTCTTTATTGTATTGTAAGATACACAATATTAAATATACAAATAATATAACATTCTCTCTCTCTCTCTCTTCCATTTGTAACATTGAATATGGTACCCAAAAATGAAATGAAATGAAAATCCTGAGCGACTAGGTTGGCTAGAATAAGGTTTAGCTTGGGGCTAGGTCTTGAAACCTACCTAGGAACTCAACTCGTTGGCTTGTGAAAGGCAGCCTATCAGACAATAAGCCCAACAAAAAATAAGAAAAATTAAGAAAAAAAACAAATAAAAAATAAAACTATAAAATTAGGATTGAGATTTGAAAATAGACCATTAAAAATCCCTAAATGAAAAAGGAGGCACAATCAATATTTATGAAAAAATTGTCTCTCAAATGAAAATTAAGATACATTTCGATCATTCAATCTCCACAAAATGATGTGTCGATAACCAACTTCATAGAAATTAGGAAAATGTTTGAGGGTCATAATTTTTGTGGTCACAATGGCTCAAAACTGTCAAAACGATGTCGTTTTAGGTGCAAAACATGTCAAAACGACGTCGTTTTGACAGTTTTGAGCCATTGTGATCACAAAAATTATGACCCTCTAGCATTATTGTAGAAATTAATAGCCAAAACGTTTAGTTCAGCAATTCAAGTCATAGAAGACAAAAAGAAATAAATCCTCATTGAAACTTAGAAGTAACGCATACCCATACCCTGAGGAAGCCCCCACGACTCATAAATCTCCCAAAAAGACAATCAAGATTTTTCCAATTTTTATATTGTGATATTTTTTATATTTCATTAATTTTCCGTTGAGCTAGGAAAGTACAACGAGCCTATGATGATATGTGGACATAGAAAAAAGAAAAAAGAAAAAAAATGTCTCTTCCCAAGTGGGTTGATGATTGAAGAGTTGTATAATAATATTATAATATTATAATAAATATTTATTTACATCACCCACCAAAAAGTATAGTCTAGTCTTATATATATACAGTTATTTATTTCATACTCTCACTGTAAGAACATTTTCAATCGTTTATTTTTTTTTTAATTAAATTTGAATAAAAGATAAGTTATTTTTTCAATTTGATATTTCTTCTTTTAATAGTGAGCATCAAAGCAGAATTGAGGGAAGTGGTCGACCGGTAAGGGTAATTTTTTTTTACCTATTTGAACTTTTTTTGACCGGTTTGAACCTACCTATTTGAAAGGGAACCGATCGACCGGTTGGTCTCCTCCATCAGTCACGCACAGTAATTTGGTCGACCGGTAAGGGTAATTTTTTTTTACCTATTTGAACTTTTTTTGACCGGTTTGAACCTACCTATTTGAAAGGAAACCGATCGACCGGTTGGTCTCCTCCATCGGTCACGCACAGTAATTTGGTGAAACCTATATCCTGTTCTCAGTTTGACGATTTTTTTATTCAATTTTCATTTTGATACTAATTTAATAAAACTATTGGAACTCCAAAAAGTATATTTTCCACCAAATTTTAAATTTGATATCAAATTTCCTCAACAGTTGGAGATGATCTTATATTAGCCAGAAGTAGATACAAAAATAAAGGGCTCGTTTGGTTTGATTTTCTGAAAAAAATTTGGAAAATTTTCTCTACAAATAAGTTTTCAAAAATAACCAAATCAAACAAATTTTCCCAAAAAAATTTCCCAAAACTTGTAAACTAAACAAGTTTTCCAAACAAATCTCTCTCTCACACACATCAAATCAATCACTTTTTCCAAAACTCTATCTCAAAATAATTTTCCAAAACATCTTTTAAAAAAAACCAAACCAAACATATTTTCGTACTTTTTATCTCTAAAACACATCTCTCAAACACAAACCAAACATACCCAAAATAAATGTGTATTAATGTACTTGTCGGCAGGGGTACGAGGTTTTGGTGCCCCCAAATGGGTTTTGGTGACGTGGCCTCTTCTTCTCCTTTCGTACCAAAAGTCTTCTCTTCACTTTCTCTTGTTTTGGTAATGACTTTTTATCTATTTCCCAACATGTCCTTCATCTCTTGTCCTTGTTTCTCACACGTGCGATTGAATCTGAACCGTCCACGTGTGATCCTAAAATGGGGAAAGAAACTTGGGTGTTTCTAACATGTTCTAGACTCCAAAAATGGATGTTTAGTGTTGTTTGGTTGGACGTTTAATTTTTATTGCTTTTTGGTGCAATGATTATTTCATATTCCTTCCTAACTGTGTATACTATAATCTCATCACATCATTGTTGGAAAATTATTTTTTTAATTGTTACATTTCTCTCAAATTTAAATAAATTTGAGAGAATTTAAAGAGTCTGTGTAGTTTATTTTAATAATGTAAATCGTTTGATTTTGTAGAGTTCTTTGTGTATATCATTCATGAAAAAAAATTAAGTCAATTTGATATTCATAACATTTAATCTATTTTTTAAAACATATTTATCATTTATTTATTTTTAGACAAATGTAATAATATAAAAAGCTTATAATTATTAAATCACTTTATTTTTTTTTAAGGAGAATTTCAATACAATGAGATAGACAAAAAAAATTGCAAAAACATGAGGTACAAATAGTTTTGTGTGGGGGTACGAATGAAAGGTTGGGGGTGCAAGTGTAACTTGCAACCTTTCATATTTGTATAAAAAAGTGTTTTTCCTCCCATTTAGATTTAATTCTCTCTCTTTTTTTTTTTTATTATTTATGAACGATATACATATAATGAGCTCCACAGACTTACAAAACCCAACCACTTTTTTATTAGCATTATTTTAGCTTTTCAAGAGGATGTTGATTTGGAAAGGCCGAAGAGAGTAACAAGAATGGGTTTGGCTTGGAAAATAGATATTCTAATATTAATTTTTTTTTTTAAGAAATGTGTAAATTGCTCGATAAGTTGGCCTATGCAACGAGTTAGGCTAGCCCATTAATTAGGTGCTTCATTACGTTTGAGGCCCCAAAATTAAATTGGGTGGCATTTCATGAGTTTTTTTTATTTTTAATATTCTAAAAAAAAAATCAATTTAAAGAATCGACCCATTTTTTAAATTGTTTAGGAAACTAACCTGCTTTTTAAAATCACATTTTGAAAATGCGATTTTAAAATTGAAATTGCATTTTCAACATGTAATTTTACCTTGAAATCGCATGTTGAAAATGAAATTTCAAAAAGTAAAGTTCATGTCATAAATTGCATTTTCAACATGTGATTTCAAGGTAAAATTGCATGTTGAAAATGTAATTTCAATTTAAAATTACATTTTTAAAATAATTTAAAAAGTGGATTAATTTTCTAAATTGTTTTTTTTAAGAATATTTTAAAAAAAAACTCGGCGTTTCATGGGCTTGTTGAAGATTTGAATCCAGTAACACACCAGTCCCACCAGAATTTAACCAAAAAAAAAAAGAGAGAATTACAACAACAAAAAAAAAAAAATTCAAAATTTGACCATTCTAACCTAAATAAATTCTGTGATTTTGTAGCCACACCTAAGGGTTTGTTGAGGGGAAGGTCAGGAGCTCGAACTGATACGTTCCTTTCAGTTATAATCCAACTTTATTAACATACTAACATCTTACAATCTTGTTAAAAAAAAACATAATATATTTTTAATTTTACTAATTTAAATTCTAACCTTTCAATTTGTTTTCAACCTTTATTTGCTTATTTTTGTTAAGTAAAACTAAACAAATATATATATACCTACATTAAGTTAATATTTTAGACATTTTATGTACATTTAAAATGTCCTGAACCTAATGTTGATATTTAAAAAGAAAAATTCAAAAACTAGTTTTCCTCAACCTTTCAATAATTAATAGTTTTTCAAGTACTTAAAACTACCTTTACTGCATAGAATATAAGCAAAAAAAATTGTCAAACATTCTAACATACTCCTTCCCTCCCCACCTCCAAAAATAAAATAAAATTTAGCATATTAAAGATACAAAACTTCGTACAGAAACCACAAAGTTTGTTAACATATATATATATTGGGGGAAATCAAAAAATATTTTCAATTTATTAATATTTTTTAAAAGCTTTAATATGTAAAATCACAATGTTTTCTATGATTGTGTAATTAAGTTTTGAAGACAATTCTGACAAATAATTTCCTCTATTTTATTTTTATTTTTGTTTTTAAAATCACTAGGAGGGTAATAGACAAAATGAAAGCTGCCTCACTCCAAACATCATACCCAACAAAGAGCCCATCTACTAGGCCAACACCTTAATCTAAGGAAGTGAAACAATCCCAGGGTGACTCATGAAAATGACAGAAATCTCAAATCCAACAACCTTTCTTAGTATTAACAAAAATATATACATAGGCAAATATGGTTTCGAAAAGTTCCAGTCAATATAATTAGAATTTTAGCCACAGCCACACATTCTGAAATTCATCATTCACAAAACCTCCTCTACATCGGACTCTTTCCAAAATGCTAACTTCATACAGAAACAGATGAAACTAGGATTCCAACCTTGCCAATAAGTCGAGGAGAGAGAAGGGAAAAAAGTCATTTGCCTGTTCTTCACCGCCAAAGGGGTATACATTCTGGTATTTTACATCCATATCCACTACTGATGGTGTACTGTTTTGATGCGGGTGAGAAAGCCAATGGTGTGAAAGCCGGCCCCTCAAGCTTTGTATATGGTTCACTTTCTTCGACTATTATAATAGATTCCACCACCAGAATAATAATGCTGATGACGGTGGCGTGATCCGGTACCCCTCCCTCCACCATGTCCTTCCCACGTGTGGCCCCGATTGGAAACTCTGCTTCCCCCGCTTTGCATCCAGCTTGTTGGTTGCGTCCCAAACCCATTAAGCTCCTCCTCTTCTCTATCATTGTATTCCAAAACCAGCCTCTTGATGTTCTGTTTCTCTTCGAGTTCTGCTGCTTCTTTCTGTTTCGTGCTTTGCACGAGTGAGCAATCCCGAGGAATGGACATCTGTTTTGTTTGTTGCTTGTTCCCACGCTTCACAAGAACTTTCACCCTAACCTCCTTGCTTCCTCCTGCTTCCTCATCCAATGTCTCATCGCCACTTTCCCCCTCGAAACCCCTGCCATGATGATCTTTGGTGGGCCCCTCAAACACATTCATTGGTATCATCATGTTCAGTGTTGGCCGGGCCCGCAATTCTAGCTTTCGTGAATCCAAGCTCTCCTGCATTCACACAGTTTAAACAATGGGTGTTAACTTTGACGGCAATCCTCAAATTTTAGTCACATAAGTTGAAAGGAACATAATTCCCAACCATGATCACCAAAGTACCTAAGCGACTACATTATGTTCCAACTAAAATGAATAAAAGGTTAGTAGAGAACAATTGAGTTATGGCTAGTGATACCTCAACTGTTCTTTTATCTTGCTTCGCTAGGTATACCGAATTTTGAATTTGCATTCCTTCTGTATTGTAATAAAAATAAATACTTGGCCAATCCATCAAAACTGCTGTTTGGTGCAGCTTATGGATCTGCTTATAGTTATTTATTTAATTTTTTGAAAACATGTGTTGGGAGTATTTGATGCAGATTCTTCTAACAGGAAGAAACAACTCAAATATGCTGAAAAAACTGATTGTTGGGAAGAGGGGGGAGAGGCGCTTTTAGTTTATACTTCTTAATTATCAGTTCTCAAATTGTTAGATCAAACAAGCCCACTATGATTAGCTAGTTCCTACACCTTACCTGCATCAGAGCCCTAAATTCTTTGTCAAACTCAGCTTCCTCCTGAGGGTCCATGTGGGTCACCTTCTGCCTAACACGTACTTCTTCATCCTCATCAGAAGCAGGACCGCCCGCATCATCATAATCATCATCACTATCGCACGCATCATCATGATTCTCTTCATCCAAATCTTCTTCATCCTCATGTCCCTCTGGGTCAAGGGTGCCACTCCCTGAATCACTGTCACTGTCAGCCATTGCTTCGTGCACTCCACCATTTCCCTCAATACCATTTTCATGGTTCTGTCCGTTCACTGAGACACTGCCAGAAGTAGACCTGCTTGGAGGCTTTTCAGTGTCTGAGTGCTTCTCACTGTTGGCCTTGTCAGTCAAAACAGTACGTTCATGCTCCTCAAGTTCAATTAGAACTGCATTAACTTCTTCAATGGAAGAATATCGGGTCATTTTTGGGCGTAAATCCACAAACAAGTCCTGCAATGCTTCAATTTATAAGCTCAACCTATTACAGAAAAGGAGCTGATTCTTTGAATAGAAAATGTACAAGTAAGAATAAACAAACCAGATTAATTATTTATTTTTTCTTTTGGGCAGAAAGCCTCAAAGAAGAATAGTAGGAAAGAGCCTGGAATTCTAGTTACTTGCAAGTTCCTTTGTCTTCAAAGCAATTCTTGGAGGATAATGTCAATGTTCTTATCAAGTTCATATGATTATTGGATAATATGGCAAAGGCAAAAGTTACCATTCCAGATTTTTCTTTCCTAATGCTGTGTTCAGCAGCTCAGAAATTCATGCCTTGGATTTGGAATTGGATTTTACCTTAGCTCAAATTTTGAACTAAGTTGACATATGATTTCAATTCTAGTAACTTTTTTTTTTTGATCGGCAACAACAAAAGGAAAGTCATTAAAACAGAGAGAAGAAAATTACCAGAAACCAGTGGACAAGGAGTCCTCCAAAGAAAGAAAAAACAGAGAGAATAAATATCTCAAACTACACATTGCATACTGCCCTCTAAATGCTAGGAATCCAAAAAAAAAAAAAAAAAAAAAAAAAAAAAAAAGGCACCAAGTGAAGGCAGGAAAAAGTAGTGATCAATCATCAAGAAAGAAAGAAAGAAAAAGAAAAAGGAATCCCTTTAAAAGAGGGAGAAACCGAGCCCAAAAAGACGACAACAAATTAGGTTTTCCCAGAAACTATGTTTCAAGGGCTACAATATTTAACACAACCATAAAATTGGAGCAAAAGTTATGTAAGACTGACCTGTAAGTCAAATTCAATATCCAGCGGTAATGGACCTTTGCTAAGAATATACCTCTGGAAATTAATTAAGAACCTGTCGAGTTTTCTCTTTGAAGAACCTCGATCAAAATAATGCCCACATGTTTCAAGAAGTGTAATAACCATCCTGATGCGAAAACAATCTTCAGGTGGATCCAACACATCTTGCTAGTGACATGAAAAGCCAAAAAAATGTACATTAGGACTATACAGAAATATCAAAAATGGACAGAACAGAGACAAAAACAAAGCTCATAATGAAACATTGAAAGAAGTTTGAATTCCGATAAATGCTACACTATTTCCACTGTTCCCTTCATAAAGCGAAATATCTCTTCCTGCTTAAACAGCAACAATGGAGAACCATCTGATCATGAACACCACTGGAATGAATTTAATTGTAAATATGTCGCATGCATGATGTATTTAACAAAAGGTTTAGGGTTTGGGGCTTAAGGTTTAGGTAAGAGTAAGAGAGCCTCAGATCTTTGAAAGTATGTGCTCCTAGGAACCAAATAGTGTGTTAGTTTTTATGGTGGTTCTACTGGGAATTGAGGATAAATAGGAAGAGTGTGTTACCTTTGGATACCATAATAAGAGGTAATTTTTAATATTTGAAGGCATCCAGTTAAGGACATGCTACTAAAGCAGAAATCTGAAATATACTTGTGCATATGCTCTTCTGAAGTAAGACATTTCTTGGTGGAGGTTTTGCTTGGTGCTATAAGGAAAGTCATTCTTTGAGGTTATGATCACTTCATTACTCAAATCTTGGGAAATGCCTACAGTTATGCATGTTTCCTTTTCTTGTCTTGGATATATATGTTGGGAAACGGCAAGGCAGACTTCTTGGCTCTGAGGCAAGGCTACATCTATTGAGTGTCGTAACTTTAGTTTCTTATCTTCCTTGTGTGGGGGTCTGATTCTATTTTCTAGTGTTTTACTCCCATTAATGGATGCCCAATACACCTTTATACATGATTAAACATTTTTTTCTTTTTCTTTTTTTTTTTTGGGAGGGGGGGAGGGGTGAAAGAAAGATAAAATCTCAACCAAAAAACCCGAGAAAAAAGTTGGAAAATGGAAAAAGAAGAAAAAAAAAGAGTCACGTAACCATGTCAAAAACACGACAGTCTGACCTCAAAAATGTTGCCAATACAATCTCAGATTATTTTTACTCATTTGAACATCATCTAGAAGATCTGGATCATGTACATTACCAGACAAATTTTCCAATTGCATAAAACAGTAACATTAAACTCATTAATCCTTCAACAAATAGGTATACATTCTGATGCAATAAACAAGTTCTGGCTCTTTTCCTTACAAACATATGCTATTCGTATCCACATTTTCCTTATTTTCCGCCTTATTATTTTGATTATACCATCCTAGCAATTATCTTATTACTGCTAGCTATACGAGAACTCTACAACTCAAGATGTGCCAACCTGTCTGCTTCCTAGTTTGTTGGATGTATCAATATTGGTGGGTATGTGAGACTAAAGAAATTCAGTGACATTGCTTGGAGAGACCTGATGCCTGGTTATTATGTGTTGACTACACAAAATTGAGAATATGAAAGGCACGTAGTTATAACTATCAAATTTTTTCTGAAGGAGGAAACTAATAACTCCATACCTCTGCTGTCCCATGACCAAAAACGAGAATCAAGTAGAGGGTATCAAAAATAACAGATGAGTCCAATTGTTCATAGTTGTATAGCTCCCCTAAGAGCCGCATGTGGGCAAGGTGTCGTTGCTGCATCCCATAGTCATTCAACTCTAGCGCCAGCCTTATTTCCTCCAAGACCTGAGAGTAAGTAACAGTTACAGTCCAAGCACAAATTCGATTACAAACAACAAAAAATTAATGCAGGTGCCCACACACAACACAGATGCACACAAAACTGGTCTTAGATGAGAAGCAAGGGTCAAGGTTGAGGTACATAATCATTATACACAAAACTTACATACAAAAAAATAAATAAGAAATTAAGCAAAAATGTATTAAAATAGGAGATTTACCAATAAATCCCAAATATTAAACTTATGAACCAATTGGTCCCAATTTTTTTCTAATAAACCGTTTAGTCCTTAGATAATTTGATGGACCTTAATGCCCTCATTTAGATGTTATTAGATGCATGCTCTTTATGAGGGTGTGTCACGTGACACACACAATATGTCATGTGACACACACAATGGGTGCCACACATCAACAAAATACACCAAGGCTCTTTATGAAGGTGTGTCACGTGACATACAATATGTCACGCGACACGCACAATGGGTGTCACACATCAACAAAGTATACTAAGGCTATTTATGCTTTTTTCCTTGGAGTGTCATGTGACACACACAATGGGTGTCACACATTAACAAAGTACACTAAGGCTCTTTATGCTTTTTGCCTTGGAGTGTCACGTGACACACACAATATGTCACGTGACACACACAATGGGTGTCACACATCAACAAAGTACACTAAGCCTCTTTATGCTTTTTGTCTTGGAATGATGTATGTCACCTAACACACACAATGGGTGCCACACATCAATAAAGTACACTAAGGCTCTTTACGCTTTTTGCCTTAGAATGATGTATGTCACGTGACACACACACACGAAAGGGTATAATTGACCACTCAATGTTACTAAACAAAGGAAATAGGATCAACTGGTAAGATATTTCCCCACTAATAGGACTAATCAGAACAATAAAAATAACTTTAGGACCAATCGATAAAACTGTTTGTGAGATAGGATTTATTGGTAAATATCTCATTAAAATAAACCAAAGATAGAATCACATAATAGAAAAAAATGAAAAAAGAAAATGGAGCTACAATAGTCTAAAACTATAAATTCGTGTTAAAAACCTGTTTTGACTCAACTATCAAACCACTAAGTAAACTCTCTGGCAATTCAGCACCACCTTACCTTTACCCTCCTTTGAGGTGAGTGTTTCTATTACTTCAGTTGTTTACTTTCTCTATTAAGAATGGTTGATAAGAAATATTTAAAAGGAAAAAGGCAAGATGGTGATATTACATGAAAACCCATGTTAACTTTTTACCTAGATCACATGATCATCACACAACAATATTTTCATTAATTTGAGTCTAAAATATATTTAATATCTAAGTGTGTAAATATAATTTGCTATGTAATTTAAAAAAAGTGACTGAATCTTTACAAGTCAGGATTTGATTCGGTACAAGGCCATTTTGATTCACAAATCAAATCCCAATTTGACAAATGGATATTCTAAAACAATATTAATTATAAAGCTTCTTGAAATTATACCAAATTGAGATGTAAAATTATAAATTTTTTAGACATATAGAAACATGTTTACATGCAAACCATCTGATGCAACTTTGGACAGCCTTAACTAAAGATGACCACACAACCTAGAGAAGCATCATATTGTCACTACGAAGCAGGAGACATGGATAAAGAACATGTCTATCAGGGAAAAATACTAAATACTCTAAAATAACATTTCCATACTGAGAAGAACCAACCTCATCAACAACAGCAACTGCAAATTCATCATGATAGCGACTCAAGCCAGCAGTAAGTGAAGCAATCAAGTGAATCTGACCATACTTTCCCTTGTGAACCTTCATAAAGCATTTTAGAAGGTAGGGCTCGCATTCACTCCATGGTAGCTTACGAAGTTGTCTCAGCACATGCTCAATGGAAGACTTATCGAGGTCTGAGAAAAGTAGTTTTCTGATATACTACAAGGTCAAACACAAAAAGGCAGTCAGTGAACTATGACATCCCACCATACAAGATACAAAATCATTGAACCATATCATGATTGATACCTGATGCAACGGTGGACGAACTTTAGAGACTCGAGCAGATCGTTCTGGAGGTTTGCACAGGTAGTAAGCATTTTCTACTAGTGTGCTGTGACGAGGATCCAAATTTTTTACATTTTTTAAACGCATCAATATCTCCAACATGTTAGCCATGCGTACAGTAGTTTCAGGGGACCGGTAAAGAAAACGGCCACATGTCTCAAGAAGATTGCAGGCAACATCAATATTATGATGAGTAAAATCATCTAAACAAGCCTGGTAAAAAGAGAAAAGCAACCTTTCGTAAGTACGACGGCAACATTAAGTATGACAGCCTTACATTTAGGTTGTCTCAACCTAAAAGTAAATTTCTTTCTAAAATTAGTTTAGAACACAAACTTCCTGTTTGTTTTCCAACTAAAACTCAGTCTGTCACAAGGTCAGCTTAAGTAAGATAAACACATAATGATAACTGGAGCAATAAAATGGAAAGCCAAACTAAAAGGTCACCGCAATTACTGTTTTAACAGCAGGTATGTATATATTGCTTAGCTAACCCTCCGCCGACCCCCACGTGCAAAAAAGAAAAAGAGAAAGAAAAAAGGAAAAACATATGGCCAGATTACGCATCCAAATAATTGTGGACTTTACGGCTTCTAAAAATTGAGAGAGAGAGATTCAAAAGAACATAATCCCTGTGAAGTAAAATTACTAAAGAATCACTTTATAAACTGAACATTCCCATCATACCTTCAAACAACTAAAAACAAGGCCAGTTGGAGCAATTTTGAACTTGCAGAGTTCCCCAATAAACCGAATATTCCTGATCTTTGTTTCAATGTTCATTTGATCCTAGAATTAAGACAATAGTTCACCAAAAAAGTCATGGTTGGCACCATGAGAAATAAAACATAAGATCCAATTCAATAGCAGACACTAATCTATTGAACTACTGAATAGACCTTCTTATTTATCAAAAAGTTGAACTCTTCCTCCAACAACTGCAAGAGCATGGAAGATACATCCTTCATACAAGTTGACAGTGTGGCAACCATGCGTGAATAGTATGGCAGCAGTTCTAGAGATGTCCTGGGGACATTAAACAAAGCCTTCACAAGCTTTTTACGGTTTGATTTCGAATTTAAATAACAAAACTCCACCTGGAAAAATAACATTATTTGACAATAAGATCTACAATGAATAGACACATAAACATGCATTTATTGGAATAGTAAAACACAAAATATTTTTTTAATAAATAATAAATAAATAAACTAAAACTTAAGCAAGCAAGGGCCATTACAGTCAACTGATCAATTAGATCACGGCTCACACAACCGGGAAGCCTCTGCAGTAGACCATCCAAATTTGTTCCTTCAAGACCTTTAATTTTCTCCTTCTCAATTTCTCCTTTTCGTTCAGCATCCTTGTCTTTTCCTTTCTCTTTGTCAGGATCTTTGGCCTTTTCTTTATCTTTTTCATCTTTATCTTTACCTTTCTCATTTTTCGCCTCCTGCAAAGTTCCAGAATCTGTAGAAACCTCTGCAGAATCTGGGATAGCCATCTGACCTTGGTCTGATTCAGGTGCCAAATCCTTCATATGAGAGATTTCCATGTAAGCAAATATTCCATGATAAAATAGAAGATATAATAAGAGCTGCAATTTTAGATTTTTTTTAACACTAAACAGAATTAACAGCTGCAATGCAGAAGCAGAGGTAGCATATGGACAAATGCAAACAGATACTTCCAGACATAAAGGTTTAGGGTTCAGGGCAACATCTAATGCAGCTCAAGTAGAAATACAAGCTAGGATACACACTTTGGAGCTGCACTTGGGTGAGATAAGAGACACATCATTGCCCAGGACTTGCAAGCGTAATGAAAAAACTGATATATGTATGAGATTGAAAAGAGATGTAAAATGGTTATGCATCTAGTAATGTCCTATTTTCTATAAAGCTGCTGTAGTAAAGCTTGAAAAATGATGATTATCAAAATGACAAATTTTCATATTTTGAACAGAAGCAACAACAGATTGAGCGGCAAAGCAAATGTAAGAAGAAAGTGGAGTATTGACAAACTTCAAGAAGATCAAGACACCGAGAAATCCTGTAACAGATTGTTCAGCAATAGATGTCAAGACAAAGCATAAAAGAAAGTAGGACTAATAGTTTCTTACAGATGGTTGCTCTTGTGTCTTTGGAGATTGCTCATTCACCTTGGGTTCTGCTTCTCCCAGTAAGACTGCAGGAACAAATGCTCTGGAAAGAAAAAGAGCATGATGTATCTTAACGACCTTCAAGTTGGTGAACTTCACTTTACAAATAAACAAGTTTATATGTTTAACATGCAATTACCATTGATACTAGTAATGCTACCAACACAAACCTGAGATCCGGTAAGCATTCATAAAAAGCTCTTGTATCTTCATCATCCCACATTGCTTCAAGAACAGAAGAATCTTTTCCAGCACCAGGAGATGATGTGTCCTCCCCGGTTGTGACCCTAGTTGTGTGACCGTCCTCTGGCATCGCTGGAGGATCCATGTCAAGAGCTTCAGCTAACCTATAACATGATTTTAAAAGAATTAGAGGAATCATAGAAAATGGAGTTACTGAGAAAGAATTACAAGGCAAATATGATGAACAAGAACAACCTAAAACCACATAAAGCCTAGTCCGCTGAAACCTTTCTAAAAAAAATTCTAAAAATTTCTTAAGGTATTTCACCCACCTTTTCCCTTTCCCTTTTCAAATCTCTACCCAAATCCATGATCCAAACACAGCCTAAATTGCAATAACTATCACTCTTATTCCCACAAAAAACAAAATGCAATAAAATATTGAGTATTGACATTTTAAACCAACTCATTCACTTAGAACTCTCCATGGACATGGATAGATTTTAGTTAAACCCCTTGAATAATATGCATAATGATCTCAGAAATTCAAAGATGTAATATGTTTACCAGGGTCCTAATTCTCTACTCACAACATGAGCATTAGTATCACCTACGGTTTGTGGACAGAAACATAATAGTGTTTACCATGGCACCCTATTAATGCACAAATCATGTTTCAGAATAGCCACAAATATAATACCAAACATCCAGAAATCCTAAATTACTAGTTACCCATATTTAGAAGCATAGTTGTCAAATTGGAATTCGTATCGTGAATCGAAATGGCCTTGTAAAGAATTGCAAATTGAATCGAATCGTGAATCGTAAAATTCTGTCACTTTTTCTAACTTACTTAAAAACATATATCTACACACTTAGATGTTGAATATATAATATGAAATATTTAGACTTAAATCAATGAAAATGATATTTTGAATGATAATCACATAATTTAATAGGTAAGAAGTTAACAAAGGTGCCTATGTAAGATCACCATCTTACATTTTTTCTTTTTTATATATCTCTTATCAACCATTCTTAATAAAGACAGTAACCAAATAGACAAGCTATCAATTTCCAAAGTAACGATAATTAACAACGATATTGATATTTGGACAATAAGCATATATACTTTTTTAAGTAAAAGTGAGCAAATAATAAGAAAGAATTATTTAGAATCTTTTATTTTAAAACCTAAAACATTTTAGAAAGTATAAGTGATCTCACACATATAATACTCAATTATATTCAATAGATATCAATAGATATTTTATAGTGTAACTTTAATTTTAAACATCTTTAGAAGATATATTATGATTTTTTGAAGGGAAAAAATTAAGAAAAAAGGTTAAAAATATGTTGGGTCTGACTGAATCTAGTTGGATCTTATTAAAAAATCTATGATCACTAAAATAACAACAAATCAATTATATGTTGGTTATTTTTGTATTAACACTATTAGAAGTTGTGTTATGTCATTTTCACCAAAAAGATGAAGGAAAAAAAAAAGTAAAAAATACGTCAAACACAATAATTTCAAAAATTGCATGAATCAGAAAAAGTTAATCGAATCGTGAATCAATTGTAACTCGTGTGATTCAAGTCACTTCCAAAATAGATTCACCCATAGATTCGTATCGATTTTGCAAAAATCGCGAATCGTAAAATTCTAATTACAAAGTTTAGAAGTAATTTCCATCTTCCAAATCCATTAAGGCCCAACAATCCTGGATCTCAAATTCCTTTTAGAATTACATGTGACTTTCATTTATGCCATTGAAAAAACTAAAATTAATTGATTTACTGAAATTTATGTAAAACTTTCCAATTCTCATTATTATTAGCACTAAAGAGACTTGAAAGAACCAAAAGTACACATGTAACAAAATATAATTAGTTATACCAAGATTAAAAAAGCTAACTGCAATTATTATGGTCGTCAAGAATTATTCTGGACAACAATGTATAAGAACATCATTGATAACAGATATCAACCATGAAATATTGAGAGTGCTAATTTAATGATGACCATCTCCATCTCAAACGTCAAACACCTCACAAGGTCATCAGGATTCAGAACAACTTCAAAAGCAACATCTTGAATATCCATGTGCACAGGGATATAAGTCTAGATGGTTAATTCCAACCTGTTTATAATTGGGCCATATGCAGGTCACTCAAGCCTTTAATTTCCATAATAGTTTTTCTCCTGTGAGCCCAGTAAATATTTGCCAATTATATGATTTAGGGCAATTAACCTTGCACGAACTTGTACCAGGTTCAGTAAGAGAGTAACCATGTGGAGAATTACGACTTGCCCATGCAGTCCTAACAAAAGGAATTTCAAACCAGCACAGCATCGCATTCAGAATAGATATGACTTAAATTAACAGAATGAACGATCAACTTACGCTGAGACACCACGATACAGATGGTCATAAGATTTTCGCAGCTTTTCATATGAAGAGGCATTTTCATCACTCAGCTCACCTTTTGCATTCAAAATCTTTGCATTCTCATGCTCCATTTGGCGAAGTGACTTCATTTCAGGGTGAGAACAAAAACAATTCGATCAGCTACTGTACCATTTAAAAGAAGACAATAATATGCATGTAAAGAGATCAAATTCTACATACCAAGTATGAAATCCTAAGGATAAAAAAAAGACATTGAATCATCAAAACTAATCAGCCCCTAACATATAAAACCAACTTTCAGTATGAGATCAACGTCTTACACTATGCTCTGAGTGAAGTAGCTCTGCTGCTGCATCATAATATGTATTCAATGCCTTCCTGAAAAATTTCTTCTGATCTGCCGTGATATTAAGGCCCTTAAAAAACTGCAATAATATGTCAGGACATAAAAAGTAGTGACAATAACCCAAAGTCAAATGGTGGTAGAATATCAATAAAAGATAGCCACAGAGTTTTGGATTTGAATAAAGTGTTGCATGCTTTTCATAAGCCTTTATTTCCATAGTAGTTTTGCAGTTGTAAAAATTAAAAAAATAAAACCTTCAAAATCACAAATATTTTTTGCACAGCGCAGAAATATCAGCTTTAAGAGAAGGGGATAAGATGCCCTAAATTGGGAAGAACAAATAAAGTAGTAATAGAAATCTGAGGGTAGTATAAAATAATAGAAAAAATTTAAATTAATCATGAATTATGAAAAATAATTAATGAGTATTTTAAAGAATCTTGGGCACCTTCTAGGATTGAATATGGAGCCGAGCCACTAATCATACTTCATTAATTTAGAGAAGCACAAATACTGCCATCGGTCAAGTTGCTTGTGCACCCTATCACTCTGGTTCTAGTGAAAGTGATGAAAGTATAGTTGTGCTCCAGTTTTTCTAAGTATATAACCATTAAACTTACTCCACAACTGAGAAAGTAGGAGGCACATAGAAAATAAGAGGAAAAAAATTCACCTCTTCAAGAATTTCTTGTCCAGACTGTGGAAGACCTAGGAAAGCTCTCCCTTGTCGTACAAAACTAGCAAGAAGAGACAGATTCGTCTGAGTTGCATCTCGGTCCTTTAGATGCTCTATGCTAGTAAGATCCTTAATGATGTTAATAAAAATACCACTGTCTTCTATAACTCCAACAAAGTAGAGTTCCAAAATAAGCTTTAAAGTGCTGCGCTTCTTCATGGCTCTTAAATTCTTGTCTGCCTCCAAGTCATCTCCAGACTTCCCAGGAAAAAAGACTTTCAAGAGGCCCTGAACCAAACTTGGTGAGAAGTCTTTGTATCTTTGATGAAGCAAAGAGCAGATCTACCATGGATAACAAAAAGGGGAAAAAAGAATCCAGGTTAGATACAGCACAAAGGATATAGAGTAATATGTTTTCTCCTACAATCATAAAGAGATATACATGTACGCTGTGTTTGGTTGGGGATTTGGGAAGGGATTTGGAAACGAAAATGGAAAATGTAAGTGAAATATAAATAAAATAAATATACATTTCACCTAGTTTCACACACTTTTTCATTTTCCCGTTTCAAATTCTTTCTCAAATCCCTCAACCAAGCACAACGGTAGTACACCTTAAACAAACATGTAACCTTGTAAAAATATTGTGTTGGGACTACAAATTTTTTATCATGCCATGCCAGCAGTAAACATTCAAGTGTTACTACTTTTCAATCTATTATATCTATTATTGTCCCCACCCTCTTCTTTTTTCTTTCGTTCTCTCCTATCTTCCAACATGCAAAAATAATGAAATTAGGGCTTGGTAATGGTAATGGACTTTCTTATGCTGTTGGCATTGGGACATCGGAAGGGCCTTTGCGTTGAAGTTATAACTTAGGGTTGGTTTGGGGTGTCCTAAAAAAGTGCACTTTTTGTCTTTTTACGAAAAGATGTGCAGAAAAGTAGAGAGGTGATGTGATGGAAAAAAGATAAAAAGATAAAAAGATGGATTATATAGGTTATGCCAAACCAACCCTTACAGTGAAATATGTATGGCATTCGCTTACAACATTTGACAAGTATGAAGAGCCTACTTTCCTAGAGATGTGAAAGCCCACAAGAGAGAGGGAATTTTTGGTTTAGATCACATGCTCTTTCTAGAAGGCTATATTCCCTCCATCCTATATTTTTAATCCTTTTTTATTTTAAGATCTCCCAAAAAACTGCCCACTTATCTCTTTAAAAAAAGGTATGTGACCTTCCAACTTTCCAATTTATCTTTCCTAGATGAGTGTACATGCATTAATAGTGTGCCACATGGATGGTAATTAATAGGGTAAATTATAATTTAACCCCCTGTGGTTTATCCAAAAAACACGAAGCCTCCCTATAATTTCATTTGTAACACTTAAACTCCTGAACTTTATACCAAAGTGTAATTTTGGATGGACGTAACAGAAATTATAAAAAGTCTAAATTACCCTTACTTCTTTCTCTAATTTTCTTCTTAATGCCATTATAAACCAAAATATTTCTCTCCCAGTTTTTTTTAATTTATATGTATTCTTTTTCTTTTCTTCTTCTTCTCTCATTGTATTCTTTTGCTCTTCTTCTTCTTCTCTTATTTCTTTCTCATCCATGGCAAACAATACACTTCTCATACCACTATCAAATATATATCTTTCTCTAGTATGGTTAACTAATGCAATACTATCGAACAAGCCAATAGAGCTAACATGATTGACTTGTATGCAACAGAGGTGGCCATTTTTCCATTGTCCTCTCGAAAGAAGAGTCCTTGATATACCGGCAAGTTGATCAAAACAATGAGACCACATAAAACAATCTGCAACGCCAATGCTTCCAAAACATTAATTTGCACATCTATAACCATCCTAATCAAGACCCAAACAAAACTGAATAGGTTGAGCATTGCAAGCGTGGTTAAAATGGTAAACATCGGTGATGATGGTGTACCAAACTCCATGACCTCTCTCAGATATCGTTCATATATCTCTCTCTAGAATTTAGACACAAACAAATATTCATCTCTCTCTTTAGAATTTAGACCTAAACAAACACTCATCTCTCTCTAGAATTTGGACCCAAACAAACACTCATCTCTCTCCCCAGAATGTAGACCCAAACCATAACTTTTTGCACCAAATCTAAAAAGAAAAGTGAAGGCAGTTTTCAGAAACTCCAATAAACATCAAACAATGCTAGGGAAAGGCAATGTATTGTCAATAACAAAACCATAACTTTTTATAAATAGTCCATAGTTGCAAACACCCACAAAGCTCATCCCATCTCCTCCACTCAACCAACACCCACCCCCCACAACCACCACCTTCCCCTCTCACGGCACCCATGGTGGTAGCTACCATTACAATTTGGGTCTTGGCTTAATTAATTGGGTATGCCTATGTATATAATGTATGTGTGTCTATAGTGATAAGGAGAAGATGAAGGATGATGGTGGTTGCCATGGTAAAGAATGATAGACATGGATTTTAATTTATGGGTTAACTTTATTTGAGTTAAGAGATTGATAGACATAGATTTTAGAAGAATAATGAAACAAAAATGAAAGGGAAAGGTGGAGAAATGAGGGAGATAAGCTAGAGAGAGAGAGAGAGAGAAGCATTTTAGAAAGAGAAGCAACGGCTTTGTTTTCAAAAAAACTTGGGAAGAAGAAGAAGATCAGGAATTATCCAGTGTGGTTGAGGGGGAAAATTTTGGTTTTATGGTCGTGCAACACACGTTCTGTTAAAATAAACGGTTCCGTTCGAAATTGCATTTTGGTATGAAGTTCAGGTGGTTTAAGTGTTACAAATGAAATTATAGGGAGGCTCCGTGTTTTATAGGTAAACCACAGGGGGTTAAATTACAATTTACCCAAATTAATATTGTATTAGTGCAAATGTGAAATGCATTAAACAACTAACTCCTTAAAAAGTCCCTGAGCCAGAATAAAGTTTCAGGACCCATTTCCAGAGGAAATTCAATACAATATCTTACCCCCCAAAAAAAAAAGGTCGTAGCACAATGGTTAAGTGCTGCCATGGAACCTTAAGGGGAGGGGTTGGTTAAGGTTTGATTGTTACTAATGAGAATATTTAATGGGGAAAACGAAAAAACAAGTTTAACAATAAAGTTTTAACAAAGACAGTTTTTCTTAAGTTGCGAAAGATAAACAAGATAACTATAAAAAGAATTCATACAATGTAGTGTCCAAAGTATATCATAACAATTCATTACCTGAACTGCAGCTTGTATGTCTGAAGATCTAAGCTTGGCATCACAAATAGCTGTCACTGCTTCGCTAACAAATTTGCTTAAGTTGACACCCCGCAACTCATCCATCAAACTTTCCCGCTGCTCTTCATTAATCTGCTTAAGTTTCTTAATAACTGCAGTGTTGCGCTTAATGCTGGAATCTAATGTCCTGAAAAAACCCAAGTCTGGAACCAAGAGTACACAACATCAATATGTGTGAAAAAGGAGCCCATGTCCTAAATATTTATAGCTTGTACTGAACTATGAGGCAAACACATATTTTAGATGGGCAATATATTTTGTTATAGAGAGAGAGAGAGAGAGAGTGAGAGGATAGGAATTAACTTATCCAAACTTATAATATAAGCAGAAAATTACAAGTGGGTTTATGACAAGCAGAACTTCCAGAAAATAAATTATGCTAGTGGGAAATTGTACAATCCAAAAATATGCATGAAAGTCGCCACACACCTTGACATAAAATAGCGCCAAAGCCCCCCCCCCCCCCCCCCAAAAAAAAAAAAAAAAAAAAGAAATTGAATAATTAAATTAAATATTCATTTTTCTAATACCAGCTTACCTATATTTCCCCGTCTTACCAGATCTTGGCTAAAAATAAGAGGAAATGACTACTGCCTTACATAGAAGAAGGAAGCAGCGGGTAAGGGTCAAGTGTAGGACTTCAACTTTGTGGGATGATATGTTGGGCGAAGTAACAATTAAAACATTACTTCTTGGCATGGCAAAAAGCAAAAACTCTAGATTCTATTGATTGTTCGGTATGAAAAAGTGGAGAAATTGAGGTTGCAGTTGGACAAGGGAGGAGAACATAAAGGGGACAATGAAACTTAAATCAGATTACAGATGTTTCAATCAATGCAAACTATTTCAAATTTGTGTGAGTATGGGACATGAATTAACAGTTTGCATCAGTTCAAAAAAAAAAAAGGATTAGTAATTTGCATTGGCGTTTAAATATGCAAAAGAACTAGCAATCCAAACATAGAAAAACCAGGAAGACTTTTTTTCCATTTCAGATACAACATGAAATGAAACAGCATCTTCAAGTACATGTAGAACATCAGCAGTAAAAAAAATCTCTTTGAAGAGGCAAACCAAAAAACAGAAAGTAAGAAGGAGAATCAGAAATTAGTAAAATTGACATCTGGTCCACAAAATCTAAAGCACTTGCTATATTTTCTCCATCTCACCCTAATTCAGTGTGCAACATCATTTCCAGTATGTTTAATCAATCAATATATCAAAAGGGATCACTTGACATCTCTTGTCCATCAATCATCATGATTCTGTATCTTCTTATATCTAATGTACTAAAATAACATTCCACTGACTGTACCTTAGTTTTTTTCCCTTGCTCTCTGGGTCATAAAAGAGATCTGAATCTCATAAAGTAACACCCAATTTTTTAACAAAAAAAATAATATCATCTCTTTGTAATCAGAGAATGTAACTTCTGCAGCAGCCAATGCAAACACAGTAATTACCACCAACATCTAACACAAGCCTATTTCTTGAAATATAAACAAGTTATCAGGGAAGCTCGAGAAATAAAATAGATCAGATAATTAGGCTTCCTCATCTCTTTACAATTTCCATCTTTGTGAACAGCATTAAAGGTACAATTCTAGATGACGTATCAAACATTCCAGCACATTGAATTGCTAATGCTTCCAGATACCCTCCAATAAAGGATGAATAAACCATCAAAATCATTATTAGTTTCATTTATTTTTCCACGAATTAAAAATCACTGTAATTAGTCAGCAAATCAGGGTCATATGAAAATAATTAAAAATTAGGAATCATTGAGGAGCTTTTAAGGAAAAAAACACAAATTATGATATTAGAAATATGGATTAACATTCAATATTTAAATCCAGGTAAAGAAATTTGCAACAACTACTAACCAGGCCTTTCAGGGTTCAAGTTATTCTGACGAAGAGCCAGTTTTGCCTCCATTGACTTTTTGAATTCCTCATGACGTGCAACAGCTTCCTGGAACCAAAATCAAAAGATTTTAAACAAATTAAATGTCAGACCTTGAAAGTGGGACCTCTCAAGATTAGAGTATAAAATACATAAAGCTCTTCTCTTTTCATTTCTACAAAAATAAAATAAAAAAGTGTAAACATGATATACTAAAGATTAATATCAATTTTTAATCGAATATATGATCTCAAATAAAGCAGAATAACAGAAAACTCTATCCATAATAGCCTAGTACCAAACCCAAACAACATTTCCAACCAACTCAGAGCAACACTTTGGCAAGCAATTTGACTTTGAAAATCCTTTATAAGTGATCTTTGGGAATAGAGAACCATATAGATTGAAATGAGCAGTGAACCACACTAGTTTTTTTAGAAGTATTCAAGTCATTACTCAAGCTATCCGAGTCAAATACACCAAGCTCACCTCATCATCTTGTTTTCCATGATGTTCACCTCTGACCCGACATTCATCCTCAGGGTGATCCATTTTCCTAGTTGTAATAGCAAAGAGTTACCTGTTAAAAAGGAAAATGAATTGAAAGATTAATAAGCAAATCCAATCCATAAAACAAAGGCAAAGAACCAAGCCTACAATTTTTAACTCCTTGACGTTAGATCCTCAAACCATTAAACTCAGTAATGAAAACCCACCCAAAGTTACAAAAATACCTACAAATTTGGAAAGTAAACAGTCACAATAAGTATAAATTGTGCAAAAAAAGCAACCAAATTTTTAGGAATATATTAACTTACAAACCCTAAAACTAAAAGCACTAACTTATTCAACATTCAGTACATTGCCAGCCAGTTGGTTCCCCTCTCCCAACTGGTTACCAATGAGTATTTCATATATGATCTGTAAGCATTATATGCTTTTTTGATTCACAATGCCTACAGGTCATTCTTTGGTGATCATCAAGGAAGCACACAATTCCTATGGTAACTCTTGGAGATTTGCTTTTCCAAATAGACAAATCTATAGCTTTTACCATGCTTTGCGAGCATGCATCAAAAGTCTTACAATTTTGTCTGTCAGTGTCTTTTTTTATTTTGGATTAAAACCATTTCATGTGAAAATTCTTATAAATATCTTGGTGTTCATTTCTCAAGATCTATGATGAAAATCATCTTAATGTTTTAAAATATAAACAATTGAACAAACTGGATAAGAAATCAACAACCATCAGATCAACCAGAACTGAATAATGAATTCGTAGTTATAAAAACAGAATAGAATAAAACACAATCAATTTATTTATTTATTTGTTTCGTCTTGGAACTCAAAGTATACAAAGGAAACAAAATTGGAAACAACAACCCCCTATATATTTATGGGCTATGTTACATGGACTCTTCTAAATGTATATGAAGTACTCATGTTGAACACTTGACACTAAGTGAGGGTATGAAATATGTGTCTGACATGTGTAATTGGAAATTAGTGATCTGAATTTAACATATAAAAATGCATAAAACTCCATATTTGTAACTAACATTTTTCTCTAGCAAAAAAAAAAAAAAAAAGAAGAATATTAAGAAATATGAATATTCTGTTGTCCTTCCTTCGACATGACAATTAGATTATGACACTTACACACGTACCCACACCCCAACCTGAACACCCTCAAAGTTGTGAAGTATATTTCTGCAGAAAACACACTCTAGCAATGGGAACAAAAATAAAACAAAGAAAACTAAAAGCCTTTGAATGCCTTAAGAGAAGAAATTTCATAATTTCTGTATGTCAAAATGATTGTGTATCTGCCATTTTATAGATTAAATGGTGCTGACTGTAAAAAGAAAGAAATAATTGTCTTCAACGATAAAAAATAATTGTCATTTGGCAGTTATATAACAGACACTTCTGGTCAATCTGTTAATACCGTACCGGCTATGGTGCCCTTTTTACTATTCATATGGTATGTATCGGTACCGGTATATTTTCAGATACCGTTTCGGATTTATCGTTCTATATATTATATCAATCAAAAGTATCATATATATTTATAAAATTTAATATATATACTATCATTTTAGTTATATCAAATATTTTAATAAAAAAACTTTTTTTTCAAATGAATACAGGCAATCAATCAAACACCAACGCAAGCTCTCAGAGCTTGTGTCCACTACAATAGATGAATATTTATTTAATCCTCATCCATTAATAAAACAATTCTTAACCCATTTATTTACCCAGTTATATCTGATAACAATCCCATGAGAATCAGTTTCTATTCCTTACCTCATGTAATGATAATAGATTCATCTTCTTGACGTTTCATTTCAATAAAATTTTTGACCTCTCATATTCCAGTGGAATTCTTGCCATTTCAACGGATATTCATGGTGGAGGAGCTCGCCAACAGCCTCTTCATCGACTGCCTGTCACTCACAGGACATCGGTCTAGAATCGAGAAGCTAAACTGATTTCTCCGGTGATGCTCCAGTATTAGGCGCATTGTGTGAATTTTCAGTCAGACAGTCTGGTACAAACCGAAACAACCAATATGATTGAAAAATCACCAGAATGGCCCGAAATGGCCAGAACAGTTCAGAATGGACCGGCAAATTAACCGATATGAAACTCTCACTTCAAAGTACCGTTTTTGTGCTAGAATGGTATGTATTGGGCGGTATGGCCCGGTACAGAACGGGATTAACAATTATGCTTCTAGTATAAATTATAGCCATCCAATCAACCGCCTTAGTATTTGACAGCGTAGCTAGCACCATTTGATGATCTGATCAAGCCATTTAACAAACCTTTATTATCAGGTATGATTTCCATTGTAGGATTGTATTTAGATAATTATTAACTCTCTGATAAATGATAATCATGGCTGATAAAAGTTAAATGGTCTTGATCACAAAACACAAGCGCACATGACACATCTCCAATCCCAAAGTGAGCCTCTAAAGCACCACAGTGTAGTATTGTCCATATCACCACCCGCATGAATGCACAAACAGTACAAAACACTGTCCAAGTATGCAACCTTATGCACTCAAGCAAAGTGTCAGACACATGTTTTTTAAAATCCTGTAGGTTGGCGGACATTTGTAAGATCTTTCTATTTCTTCTCACTTTCCTAAGTGGAACATATTAAATAAGGCAATTAAAGTTTTTTTTTTTTTTTTTTAACAAATCAAACTCTTTTGAAAATCCCAAACCATACTATATAACCAAACCAAACCAAACTAAGTCTTGGTTCCAAAACCAATGAAGTGAGGTCGGCTACATGAATCATTTTTCTGAATTCTATTCTATTAAGGGCTAAAACATACTATATATAACGAAAACCACATCCCAAGCTTTCCTCAATCCTCGGGCCATGTATCCACTCCAACAAACAAAAAAACTATTTTAATTGACCCTTGCATCACCCAAACAATACCAAGGGCTAAAACAACAAACTCCAGATTTTTGCAACAACTATACAATGCAATAAAAGATGATTCATCGCCTCCACTGCTTGCTTGCACATGCAACACCAATCTAATAAGACTTTGTCTCTCGCTCTTAAATTGTCAAAGGTAAAAATGCCTCCCTAACAGTTAAAAATAAAATAAAATAGAAGAACTAGTTTAGGAGTGGCTTTTCAAGCACCACACCAATTTCCATGAGAAGGCACACGTTCTCCACCCCCAAAGAATCCTCCTACAATAAAAGGCCACCGAAAAACTACCATGAGGAGCTCCATTCCAAACCGAGGAGTCCTCTACAACCCGACCACAACCTCTAAACTTGAAAACAAGAACTTTGAAAAATGGGGCGGATAGCAAGCGGTTTGACTTATTGAGCTGGAAGGGATGCACGGGATGGGCCTTTAGCCAATAAAAAAGAATTTTCTATTTTTGGAATAGAATTTTAACTACTCGTCTAAAAAGTAAAACATGAAAGCATGCTTAACAACATACTCAACATCCCAATCCGGTAGAGCTCTCCTAAACACCAGGGCCCAAACCCCACCACACTAGACCCCGTACCAATACTCCTATACTAGCACTCTCTATTCACAGCCACTTCCAAGGGATCTAGAAAGTCATCCCTCAAAGACCAATGCCTACACAAGATATCATCCCAAAACTTTGTCCGTTGGCCATCTCCCACCTTACGAATATGATTATTTAAGTTGCATTTGGAGATTTGAGAAAAGGAATAAGGTGGCGTCACAAAAGATGCATCCACTATAATACTTGTGCAATTAGAATCCTCAATAGGATAGATTTCCAAATATGCCTTTTTATCTTGTTATTTCAAAAAACTCAGTTTATGGTAGAGTTTGTCGTCATATAACTATAGCAACAACTTACAACAATTAAGTACAAATTCATTGATTTAAAACCCACTAATTCAAAATTTGAGTATAATCCAACTGTACAAAAACTTAATTGATTGTAAACACCAAATTAAATGCAAATCCGTCGATTTCGAATCCACTAATCCAAAAGCATCCTTTACATTTTTGATCAAATTCGAGTATAATCCAACGCACAAAAAAGCTTCATTTACCAAAGCAAAACATATTCCAAAATTAATTTTATTTTTTACCCACAAAACAATCGAACTGCATTAAGCAGAGTAAACACACACTCATGGCACAAAAATCTATTTTTAGAGAGCACCCACAGTGGGCTGCCAAATTATAGCAATGCCAAATCTGCCAGAACATAATCCCCAACTGCTTTCCTTCCCTCCCTCCCTCCCTCTCTCCCTTCCTCATCCTTTCCCAGCAAAAACTCCCCCAGACAGAAAATAATATTTTTTAACAATTCACCAAAAAAAAAAAAAAAAAAAAAAAAAAAAAACAGACTAAAACAACAATAATCAAGCAATTTCAAACATATTTCAACCGATATCAACTAATCTCAAGCAATTGGAATCAAAATTTTAAGCAATTCTCCATTATCAGAAAGACGATTTCAGAAGAAGAAGAAAAAAAACCTAGACTTGAAGATGCGTGATGGATTTCAGACGATTTCAGAAATCTCAAACTTCGTCTTGTTCATCTGCTTGCTTCGTCTTAGGGTTTGCATGTGGTTTAGGGTTTTCGGCTTCATCTGCTTCGTAGAGATCCAAAGGGTTTAGGGTTTAAAGAGAGAGAAAATAGAGGGAAGAGAGAGGCAGCGAGAGATAGAGGGAGGCAGGGATGATAAAGATGTAGAGAGAGAGAGCAAAGATGGAAGATAACAGACAGAGGTCGAAAAAGATTTTTTAATTTGTTAATTGGTGAAAAATATTCATAAATAATTATTAATATATAATATTTATTTATATTAAATTTTTTATATATATGACACAAATTAATTCTACATGCTAATATTTTTTATATAAAACTATTAATTTATAATAAATTTTACATTTTAAATTTGTTATATTTATATTTATTTTTATATTTTATTATATATTAAAAATATATATGTATTAACTATAACGGAAGAAGTATAATGGTTTTGAAAGTAGATTATAAATTTTAAAATTTAATCTACGGTTAGCAAATAGATCAATAAGCAGAATTTTGTACAACTCTAAAGAGAATAAGGATCTAAGATGGAGACAGAATTTATATTAGGATTTAGAGTTTGAGAATTATGGCTCTCTTCATACCACATTCCTCGGTATCTTATCATATTTTTTATTTTATGGATCTCATCTTGGTAGATTATAAATTTTAAAATTTAATCTACGGTTAGCAAATAGATCAATACGTATTTGGCAGAATTTTGTACAACTCTAAAGAGAATAAGGATCTAAGATGGAGACAGAATTTATATTAGGATTTAGAGTTTGAGAATTATGGCTCTCTTCATACCACATTCCTCGGTATCTTATCATATTTTTTATTTTATGGATCTCATCTTGAGTCTACCATAATTCAAATCGTTCATTTTATAAATTTTATAATAGAAATCGTTTGTGCAAAAAGTTAAATTCATCAGATATCGATAAATAGATTAATAAATCACATTTTATTTTATAGTCGTTTAAGTTTAAACTCATAATTGTTATCTATTTTTAAAAAATAAAATGTCATTTGTTCACGTATCAAGTTATATTCGATTAAGCTAATTTTTTGCACAAATGATTTTTATTATGAAATTAATGATTTGGATTATTGTTGTGGGCTAGAAATATGACCCATAAAATAGAGTAGGGCAAATTACCAATAAGTTCTCTTTGAAAAAGGCGTGGCCTATTTAGTCCTATAACCTTTTTGTTTATACCCAAAAGTCTTGTAGCATTTTTCTTTTTCTCTGCCTTCGTTCTTCTCTGTCTCTTTCTCTTCTTGATTTTTGACAATTAGCGATTGACGACCATATCTTGCTTTTTCTTTTTCTGATATATAGTAACCGACGACCACCATCGATTGAGGTTTACCAATAACCACCGACCACCAACTTCTTGTTTCACTCCACTGACGATGAAAAAGATAAGTTTCTGGCAAAGAAGATGAGCAGATCCACTTAAATTTGATGTAGATCTACATCAAATCCGGTTAAATCTAAATCAAAAATAGTTGCCGGAGCACAATCCTCTCTCCGTATCTGTCTCTCTCTTTTGATCTCTCAATTTTTTTACCTTTTTTCTGCTACACACTTCTCTTTTCTTGTTTTAATGGGACAAAAAATTTAAATTATGAACAAGTTGTTTTCGAATTTTAGTTATGGGCGGTGAACTATAAAATTTTACAGTTTTAATTTTTTTTATGCTGAAATAAATCATGCTTTAAAACTGTAAAATTTTACAGTTTCATAACATATTTTTCAGTTTAATTAATGAAAATAAATGCTTAATAGATTTTTTCTTTGAAATTGTAAAATTTTTTAATGAAAATAAATGCTTAATAGATTTTTTCTTTGAAATTGTAAAATTTTAGGCTCCGTTTGGTGGAGTTTTCAAAATCTAGTTCCACACTTACTTTTGAGTGTGGTGTTTGTTTAGGGTTTTCAAATCATAATTCTACACTCATTTCTCAAAACTCAATTCAAAACATAATCATTACTTTTCAAAACTCATAACCAATTACAAAACTCTACCAAACGGAGCCTTATAGTTTGAAAGCTTGATTTTCAATTTGATTAATATTGAAGATTATTTGCTTAAACCCTACAAAAATTTAAAAATAACATGCGTTTTTTTTTCCCCATTGTTGCTGTTTGTTGTTACGTTTTTTTCTTTCTTTCAGTTAATCAATATTTAGCATATTTTGCTATATTTTTTTCGCTCTAATTTTTTCATTTATTCTTTTTTTGGATAATATTCTGGACATTTCGGTGAGTCTTCGACAATGTTCTTAACGTTTAGCGAATGTTTTGGGCATTCCGTCGAATTCCAGTGACATTCAAAACACTCCGGCGATACTTCAGTAACTTTCGATGATGTTGAATATTTCGGCGAGTCTGTGGTGACTATCTGATGGAAGTCCGACGATGATAAGATGTAACAATGTTTGTAAATTTTTAAAAAAAAATAGAATTAAAAATATGTAAAATTAATTGGTACAAGTGCTTTATTTTAGGATTAGATGAGTTTTAAATTTTATTTAGAAGACTTATCAATAAGCTCCCCAATAGACTATGATGAAGTATAGAGTATAGTAATATGGAGATGCGCCATTCTCAATAGACAGAGAACACATAGATAAAGACGTGTAGAGAAAAACATGAAAGGGTTTGGATCAGATGGAAGGGTCTAGAAGCATCCAATGACTACAAACATGTGGCTATCTTCCAATAGCTATGGATACATTTCAATAACTGTAAATAGAGATCCATTTACTTACTCTCTCAATATATTTTTTCTTTTCCACTCTTGACAATGATGAGGGAGGTTGGTAGGTTTCAATATTTGGTTCATCTCTAATAAAGTAAGTTGGTTAGTATTGTGCTAAAATGATATGCTACCATTGTGACAATATTGCTATAATTTCTCATCTTACTTATAATATGCCAAATCATAACTTTAGTGACTATTTTGACAATAACCATTGTGAATGCTTTGAATCAAAATTCATAAACCTGTGAATCAAAAGTAAGCAATAAATTAACGTTTGACGCTAATTCTACTCTAATTACAAAATTTTATTCAAAACCTAATAGAGAGACTAGAAAAGCATACGAAACAAAGACAACATTTAGGTTTTCAACACAAAATGCAAATATAAACAAGCTAGAGAGAGACCTTGAGAATTAAGAGAGCAAGGGTTACAAACAGAGACAAGCAATTAAACACTGTATTTCACAAATCAAACAGAAAGAACTATGCGTTTCTTCATTTTATACGGCCAAATTGTGGTCCGATTGATGTTCTAAGTCAAGTAGATTGTCCGATTCGAATAACTGCTAAAAAATGAAATAACAGTGATTATGTGGTGCTACTTGTAAATAAAAAATGACTTTTGTTAACATCTGCTCTTATGGCACATGTTAAGAAAACATTAGATGAATACATATATATGAACTTGTATAGAAAATAACATAACTTTAAGTTATCTTAATTAAATTTTTTATATTTATAATAAGACTAAAACACCCCATTTGCTTTGCACCCTTCTCCTCCCTTAATTTTTATGCCTCTTCTCTCTTTTTTAAATTTGATGTTTTTTGTTATTTTAGTTTGGTGAAAAAAAAATAAAATCAAATACTATTATTTTCATATGGTTTTTTAACATAAAATAATATTTAAAAATTCACACATATATTAATATTTATTTTTTTTCAAATAATTTTTTAAAAATAAATTCAAAATACAAATTTTAAAAATTAAATCAAACAAAAATATTTTGCAAGTAATTTTTTTCAACAGTACCTTCATATATTTTGGTGGGTTTCTCACCTTATGGAAAACCGTTAAAAAAATAAAACAAAATAAAAAAAAAATATAAGATAGTTTTTATTTTTATTTTTTATTTTTTTATCACACTATGTACTAGTTGTTAAAAAATTATCTTAAAAAACAAGGGTATTTATTTCCATCTGGAAAAAAATTAACTACTAAAAATTATCATAATAGTAGTTCTACTTACACCACAATTCGATCTCCTTACATCCATTCTCTCGTTACAATCAATTAAAATTCTACTTTTTCTCTTTACACTTTCCAATATATCAATTTTACCCCCTCTTCAAACCCACATTCTTTCCTTACACCTATTACATCTCCTCTCTCTCTGCTCCACTTTTCTTTTCTCCTTTCTGCCATTGCACTATCGGTCGCCACTGTCACCACCTCCGATAGCCAAACCATGACCCACTACCTCCCCTCTACCTCTCGAATAGGCCCAAATCAGTGGCCAAAGTCAAGAATTGGAGGCATGAAAATGTAAAACAATCATGCGCAAGTGAGTGGTCCAACACTTAGGCAACCATGCACAATCCTCAAACATGAGCAAGATGTGATAAATGTGAGAAAATGACAACGCATTAAGCTCTGAAAATATGTGAGAAATGATGCCAAATCAACCAAATAAAGCAAGCAAAGCATGTAAGAAGGTCCAAGGCCTAAGGCTAACCAAAGGACTCAAACCATGGCCATACATGGGAAGTCCCAAAGGGTCAAAGGGACTCAAAACAGTCCCAATGCAGGTCGAGACAAGGCCAAAAACACACTTAGATGGCATCCAAATGGCCTAAGCATGGAAGCATACGCAATGATCCGTTCAAGAAGCATAAAACACAAACTCTTTAAGACATTAAATGAGTGATAAGTGTAAGTTTATAGGCAATGAAATATGGACTAAAATAACATTCTAAGTGATGCCAAACCACTGAAATGATCCACATAGAGCATGCTAGCAACTTGGACACTCAAAGCTAACAAGCTAGATTATATGGTAGCTATACAAAACAATGCAAGCATGGCCAAATCAATGAAAAATAGAACTTAAGCATGCTACAACAAGCCTAAAAGCTTCATGGAGTTAGGCCAAAATCATGCTAAAAACACATGTTACAACATGATGCATGTTAAGGCCAAATCATGGGATTACAAGAAAAGTGTATGAAGCATACATGGCATGTCTAAACCAACTCAAAACAGAGGTGTATCATGGTAAAACAAAGCCTAATACATGCTGAAATGGAGCTAAAACAAGCTAGGTAAACATGCTACAACATAAGCCATTTATGCAAGTATTAAAGACAATAAGGATAGGGGATGACCCTCTCCTATTTAGGACATCAAAACCACCTCTCCATC